GGGCGCCTGCCGCCAGCCTCAGCCCCAGCCTCCGTGGGTGCGGCTGCCCTCGGGAGCCTCGGGTAGGCCGCCATCCACCCTCCTGTCTGTGCGGGGTGAGGCAGTGTGCCCGCCGTGCTGTGCCTCTCTGCTGTCACGTGTCATCCCAAGCTTGCAGTGTCCGTCTTCTCTGCTTCCTGCCTGCCATCTGACCCTCCGCTTCAGCCCTGGCTGTGTCTCACTACCCTCTCCCTCCCTCGGGGTCTCTAGAGGGAGGCATGGCTGTGTGTTGGCTCTCAGGAGTGCCCTGGGCTTCCACGCAGGTAGCCGCGCGGTGGAGCAGGCATGGCGTCCTGACGCAGTGGGAACCCGCCTTAACGGTGTCTCCCTCTGTTCTTGTTAACAGGAGGTTCAAGATGTGAGAGAGGTGGGCCGGCTGCCTGCGGAACCCTCACAGTAGGAGCCCAGGTCTGAAAATCAGTGTTAGGGACGGCCTGCAGCTGCCTCCCCGGCTGGGGCAGGGCCTGCATTGCCCAGGGCTCCCTTTTGCACAGTTGACCTTCCTTTCACCATTTGATCATGTAGCAAAACCCATGGTGTTTATTTCTCATTTAGCGTGATTATCCAGCGTCACTGGTGACAGATAGGAACTTAGACTAAAGCCATTACGTTACGTGCCTTATTATGATATCTCTCCTGTGGGGCCCCTCCTACAACTAGGCGCTCCTGACTTTGTATCTCTGAGACCAAGGGAGCCCGGCCCACATTATCAGGGGATGGAGAGACGCACAGGCTGTGAGGACGAGTCAGCTCGGGCAAACTAAAGTGGAGGCTCTCTGGAACAGTGAATGTAGCTTTGAGGGCAGACAGGAGGGTTGGCCCCTTTTCACATGGGAGCTGGGGTCTGCCTGTTCCCTGAGAACCCAGAGTCTCCCCTAAGCTGAGGCAGCAGAGTGAGGCTAGGGCAGTGAGACCACTCCTCCTCCTGAGCTCTCCTCCACACCCATCACGTTCTCATCACTCTCTGTCATCCATCGTCATGTGTATCCAAGACTGTCTCCATGATCTCGAAAAAAGGACTCTCTCAAGACCAAAGCTTTCATTAAACTGTATACCAAGAAGGAATCAAAGCTCTGCACGCATCCATGTCTTGTTTGGTTTATCATCCTTTGTCCCACCTGTGTCGCTGGTGTCTGGGTGCACACGCTGTCCGTCCCTCCCATGCGAAGGCTGACTGCGAGGAGATGCCCTTAGCTTCCTAACCTGGGTCCTGATGAGAGCTCTGGTTCTTTTGGGGTGAACTGCCTTTGTCCCCAAGGATCACAAAACCATGGTGGGTAAATTGAGGCCCAGGAAATTTGGTTTGCAACAGAACTGACCTCTGAGAACGGCTGACCCCAAAGCTTTGATAGTTGTTGATACCAAAAAACTAGAGAGTTTTGTCTTTGCTATGCCAAGCCCAGCCTTGTTTGGGGAATAACAAGGAAAGAATTCTCAAGTGGCTGTTTTTTGGGGGGTTTGTTTGTTTGGTTTGGTTTTCAAAACCCAACCCATAAACTAATCCATCAAGAGGATTCCTTCCCAGTTGAAATCTAACCTCGTATCTCGTTCACCATTTGGCAGTGCCACTGTTCTTTCCCTTACACAGGGACCCCTGCACTGTCGCCAGCTGCCACGTGTCACCCTGTGCGTCCAGTCAGTCTAGCAGGACAGTTCCAACAAAGCAGTGACAGGATATTCAAAAAGTGGGTTAAAATTCCTGACACTGAGAACGATTCCCTCTGACGGAGGGCAGCTTGCAGGATGGCATTAAACCCCTTAAAATGTTTACTTTTTCAAAAGTTAGACACTGAGTTTTGCTTGTTTTGTTTTTCACGCAATCTCACCAATTCTTCACCCCTTCAGTTAAGGATTCCAGTAACATTTTTAGAATTAAGAAAGTGCAAAAAAAAAAAAAAGAAAAGAAAAGAAAAAGAAAAAAGAAAGAAAGGCAAAACAAGGGAATTTCTGAGTTGACAGATCACATGCAGAAAGTAAATTATAGTAAAATAACCTTGCATTGTAGGTGGCTTGAGATTTAATAATCTGCAGGGGTATTAGTAACATGTGTTAGGCATTTCCATAAATATCCCTTTAAATTGGATCTTTATGGCAAAAGGCCAATCCATTGACCAAAATTTTCCCCCAATTTAAACAAAAATTAAAATCTTCTGACCAGATATATTACACTGAAAAAGGTAGAGTCTGGGGAACTTCATTAGTTATAACTGGTTTCAGAATCCTCTTTTGAGATTAACCTCTCACAATTAAAAAAGTGCAAAAAAAAAAAAAGAAAAGAAAAGAAAAAGAAAAAAGAAAGAAAGGCAAAACAAGGGAATTTCTGAGTTGACAGATCACATGCAGAAAGTAAATTATAGTAAAATAACCTTGCATTGTAGGTGGCTTGAGATTTAATAATCTGCAGGGGTATTAGTAACATGTGTTAGGCATTTCCATAAATATCCCTTTAAATTGGATCTTTATGGCAAAAGGCCAATCCATTGACCAAAATTTTCCCCCAATTTAAACAAAAATTAAAATCTTCTGACCAGATATATTACACTGAAAAAGGTAGAGTCTGGGGAACTTCATTAGTTATAACTGGTTTCAGAATCCTCTTTTGAGATTAACCTCTCACTACGGTGCTCCTGAATTATATATGAAATAATTGAATTTTCAGTGAGAAAGTCATTTCCCAAGTAATACAAGACATTAAAAATCTCTTGTGGAAAATTTGGAAGCATCTTCCCCCAGAATCCACGAACCAGGACCATTAAATCTTTTGCTAAGAGGAAAAAAACTGTCAAAATCCAGACTGCAGTTAAGTAAGGAATCTTTTCTGTTTCTTGTTCTTAAAGGGGAGAAATAGATATGAGTAGATATGGTAGGGAAAATTATTTGTATAACTGTTCTTCCACTGACAATCTGCTCTTACAGACTACCCAGCTAAAGCCTATAGGCATTTAAATAGACCATTTGCAAAGGAAAAGTCTCTCCTGATCTTAATCCCCCTTTCGCTTTCAAAATACAAGTCAGATGCATCAGTGAGCTATTGACTGGGGTCATTGGTAGGGCTGCCCCTCCTGGTCTGTGCTCTCTCTACCTGACATTCCTTGGGCTCTGTACCACCTCCAGGGTAGTCTTCCCCTGCCAGCCTTTGCATCAGGACCCGGAAGAGGGACAGTGTGTTGGAATCTAAATCTGTGCCATGTGTTGTTTGCGCTGTCCTTTGTACTGTCCTTTGTCTCCCTCTGGCCAGGCACTGAGATTCTGGTGAGGCTCAGGAGGAGCTCTGCTTTTCTACCTGTTCCATCGAGATCGCCTCCCAAGGAAGGAGGCTTAACTTTGAGTAGAAGTCTGAATAGCAAAAGGTTGGAGTCCCCCTTGGATGAAGTACAGAGACCTCAGCCTCTCCACTGGAGCTGTCTCGCCCCCTCAGTGGTGTGATTTCCTGGGCTTGGTTTTAATACTGGGGCTCCCTACCTGGGAGCTGATCATCTTTCAGCTGGGTGAAGACTTGGGGTTGATCTCTACATAACTTCCTTGACTCCTCTTTGGGAATTGCTCCTAGAAACTGGCAGATCCCCTGATCTGATCACTGAAGTTGCCAAGCCGATAAATCCAGGTAGAACATCGGTTACTCTAGAACCTCACCAGACTCTCAGTCTCTGTGCACAACGGATTCAGTGTTAAGTGTGATAAATACTGTATTTCATATTGTTTAAATTGTATCTCCCAGATAATGTGAAAATGGTCCAGGAGAAGGCAGCTTCCTGCAGTGTGCTTTTTTTTTTTTTTTTAAATAAGTAACAACTCTGAGAAACAATTTCTACTTTGAAGTCATATCAAGGAAAAGATGTATATGCACTTATAATTTTCCTAATAAATATCTGTATTCAAATGTAGTCGGAATAGTTTGAAATTAGTCTTGTGGAATTTTCTAGATGTATTTTTTCTCCTTCAAACCCCATACTGGGCAGATGTGTAATCTGAGCCTGTAGTGGCTAGAGGAAAACAGACCACTGCTCACTTCATCAGCAAGCTTTTCTCTGCATGGCCTTGGTTTTGCTGAGATCACTTCCCCTTTTTTTTTTTTTTTTGAGAGAGATTTTTGCTATAGGGCATGCGCACTCACCAGAGAGACACAGAAAGAGAGACAGAAAGCAAGAAGTCACTCCAAGGGGGGTTGGCCACACCGCAATTCCTTCTCCATTCTCCTCTTGGGATCTTGGGCATGCACACACATGAACCCAGTGTGTTTTAAGTCGCTGGGTCTGGGACTCGAACCACAATCAACTATGTAGGAGTCCAGCAACATAACTGCTTTGCCATCTGCTAGTTCCTGGAATCTCATCTTAAAGGCCAGCCGGTCCTCTATTCCACAGGGATAGTTTTGTACAGATGTCCTCGGTATTTGCCTAGCACCATCAGGAGAGAAACCTCCACCCTCTATTTCTCAGTCTTGGTGTAATGCAACACAAGGTCCAGACCGGGAAGGCATCCTCAGGCCGAGCACCCTCTGGGTGTTCTCTGTCCTACACGTGGGCCCTCTGGGGAGCCAGATGCCGACTCGCTCCACTGCTGCGGGCTGGCACCAGACATTAGGAACAGTGGGGTATCTCCAACAGACAGAGCTCTCGTCCTCACAGTGGCTGGCCCTTAACACTTCCGGTCACATTCTGTCGTGTACACTCAACCACACTGGGAAGGAGAAGCCAGCACAATAGCCCCTGGTGTCTGAGTCCACATGGTTCTGCTCTGCAGGCCCTCCTTCCCACTGACCCAAATGTCACCAAGTCGGCCCTGTACTCAAAACTTCCCCATTGCTTCTGGGTGGCCATGATGTGAATGCTAAGTTGCAGAGAGGCTTGGAGGAAGGCTGGAGGGCTCAAGGAGGCCCTGGATAGGTGGACTGGTGGCACAGGAAGTACACGGACATGAAGATGAGAGCTGGATTTGCATCCTGTGCTCACTGAGGATCTGAGGCCCACCCTGAGCTCTCTCCATTTCTGTCACATTGATGCCTAGTGCAACCAAGAGTGAGAGGATTAGACTGGGAGATGAGGAAGCAGCAACTGTGGAGGGATGAGAATAACCTGCCCCAAGAGGTGACCCATTCTGCTCACTCTCCCTACCTCCTGTGCCCTGGTGTCCACAGAGCCAGGACAATACTCACATCTGCCACTGCTTAGCCTCACCAAAACTCAGACCAGCAGGAGCTACATGTGGTCGAGAGGCTGAGCCCTGCCCTCTCAGCTGGCCATGGGAAGCAGCCTCTTGGTCAGGGTCCCCAGTAGGTCCCGGGACCTCAGAGCCTGACAGTGCCACCTTCAGCACACCACGCTGCTATCGCAGCACCAGGGATTGACAGCCAGCTGACCCTTCAGAAGCAATGCCAGGGCCCCCATGCCTCGGGCCCCAGTCCTTGCTTAGTCGTCCAGCAGCAGCTGCAGTGCTGGGCCCTGGAGGACTAGATGCAGGGAGATCAGAGACACAAGCGCGCTCTCTGATCCCACGGCCTGTGGGCGGGGCAGACATGCAGTGAAGTGTTTTTGTAAAGCATGACAGCACACCCCGGTGTCAGGGATGCTGACAGCACAAGAGATCCACTAATTTGGGCATCGGGGAGGGCTCCCTATAAAAGTGTGGGAGTAGCGAAGACCTGAGTGAAGTAGGTTCTTTGGGAAATGGCCACCGTGTCCAAGGGGCAGCACGGGACGCTCATGGGAGTGAATAACAGGACTGTATCTGCCAGGGCTGCAGCTCACACAGGGAGCGGGCACTGCAGCTGGGCAGTGGGGTGCAGCCTCCACACCGACTGCCGAA